TAGACATTTCGCTGCGCCTTAGAAATGAGAAACGTGCCCTTATCTTAAACCAGATTTAAGTCATCACAGTGAAGTCACATAAGATGTGATTTTATGATCAAATTACTTGCACTATATTAGAACAGTTTTTTTTCGTCCTAAAAGCATGCTATCCTGATTACTGATAACATATTACCTAAATCACTTAATAAATCACGTTGCCTAGGAAATTATAAACGTCCCGGTGTATATGAAGTTATAAACGTGGTGTTATCTTAAGCGATACTAATGTCTTCGTTGTGATGTTGGTCCCAATTTTCTCTTCTAATTTTTTATACTAAATAAGAACAGATTTTTTTTGTAGTAAAAGCATTATCTACTGCTTAGTAATAACATAATTGTGATACCATAATAGTTGTGCCATACTAAGGTTTTCATTGGGATTTTGGTGATAATTTTAGTGTACTAAATATATGATCTCCTGCGTAGTGATCATATTTTATCAAAGACCATCAATAAATCGTGGCATATAGGTAACTGTAAGCGTGCTTTTATCTTAAGGCATGTTAAAGTCTTCATTGTGACAATGGTCCTGACTTTCTCTTCAAATTTTTTGTACTAAATTAGATTATATTTTTTTTTTGTACTAAAAGTATGACCCTCTGTTTTGTGATAACCCATTACCAATATCGATCAATAAGTTGCGGTGTCTGGAAAATTATAAAGGAGTCCTTATCTTACCCCACACTAATGTTTTCAGTGTGATATTGGTAATGATTTTCTTGTACTAAATATATGATATCCTGCGTAGTGATAATATTTTATCAAAATCCATTAAAAAATCACTGCATATAGGCGTGCCTTTATCCTAAGTTATGTTAAAGTCTTCATTGTGATATTGGTCCTGACATTCTCATCAAATTTTTTGTACTAAATTAGATTAGTTTTTTTTTGTACTAAAAGTTTGACTCTCTGCTTTGTGGTGAACCATTACCAAAATCGATTAATATACCACGTTATTTAGGAAATTATAAAGGAGTCCTTATCTTAAGTCATATTAAAGTCTTCAGTGTGATAGTGGTCCTGTTTTTCTTGTACTAAAAGTATGATCTGCAGTATTGCCATAAAAATATTGTTTATATTTAAGTATGAATATTACAAAAAAAAAAATGATTGTTATAAAAATGATTTCCTCCAAAAAAAAAAAAAAATTAATGAAAATTGTGATTTGTGTGCCAGAGAGGAAGGAGGAAGGCAGAGTTTGCGAAATGTGCACTCAAATACAATAGCGAAAATTAATGTTTCACTTACATAGGCACTTACATAGGCAAACAAACATGGCTAACAAGTGCAGCGGAAGTGGAGGTAGAACGCAACACACACAAAACTAACCAACGAAGCGGAAATGAAAATATTTTAATATTTTTCAATTATTATTTATTTTTCAATTTTTCGGTGTTTGTATTTATGGTACATTTTGTAAATGGCGCAAGTTGAAGTCTCCGACCTGAACTTGGTTTTATTTGCACTGAAACTGATGGAGAGTTGTGTTGGGCATACAACACTGGACCATTTGCATTCCAAGTGGGCATATTTTTGTTTGTCACACTTTTGTGTTGAGTCATAAAATGAAATTGAAAAATTCCAGTCAAAAATGCAATTTTTCCTAACAACTGGCAACTTTGAATTGTGCCACATTACATTCACCAGAAGTAAAAGGAAAACGCACAGGAATGGCGGCATGGCGGCTTGGCGGCTTGGCATTGCAGGAATTGCACCCAAAGTGAATTTGAAAAATGGCAAATTTATTTCAACATTGCAGGCTCTGAAACACCAACAATTGTCACATCAACAAAAAAAAAAAAATAAAATAAAATAAGAAAAATAAAATAAAACTAAACTAGTATAGTCAAAATTGGTTGAAATAGTTGTTGGGAAGAAATGTTAAATGAATGGTGATTTTTGAAAGGACATGGAAGCCATTATTACGCCGCTTGATTTTGTTGTAAACGAGGAAATACTTGGAAAATTGCATTTTAAGTGCAAATATTAATTTTTTTTATAAGCAAACTTATTGCATTTATGTTGGGGCATTGGATGGAATGGAATTTCGCAAATAAATGTCCTGTGGTAATATCCTGTTTGTTAGAGAAATTTTCATGAAAATATTTGTATTACGTGATTAAATACAAAAACGAAGTAGATGTGCTATGTAAATAAGAATATTAAAAATTTTGTGATTTTAAACAAGGTTCTGCGACAAAATTAAAAGAAAAGAAATAAATTTTAAGTAAAAATATTGGAATTATTATTATTTTTAGGCGGAGAAGACCTTACTCCGTGATTTACTTGATCTAATATGTTCACCCTAACTATTTTAAAGAGTACGTGTTTCAGCACTACTAGTGACATGGGTGAGATTACTATGGGGCCAACTATATATTATTAAAAAAATAATCGTGAATAGTCGAAAATAGAAAAGAAATCATGAAATTAATCATCAAAACTATTTTATCTCGAGAGCAGAAGTATACATTTGAAAACTATAAGGCATTAGGAATAATGTATTGAGTATTTTTATATATAATAAAAAAGTATATTAAATATACTTGTGTGTTTGATAATCACCAACATTTGCTCCTAATAAGAGCAATAAAATTTATTGTTCAAAACCATGAAAATTTGGTTTTCTAAATTGATTATACTATGTTGAAGCTATTTGAGCCAGTACACTTGAACACTTTTACTCTTTATTAACTAGAGGTATCTTCAAAACTCCTCCTTACGCCTTGACTGGATTATTGTTTATCACTTTATCAGACTAAGCAATAATTGACCTCAAATCTGCATACCTCCCCGAGGAGCCTGTACCCATTTTGAGATTCGATAACGCGGCGTTGGTGTCTGTCAGTTTTCGCAAATAATTTCAGGGCTCTATCCTTTATATATTTTTTGATCGGATCAATCTTGAGGTCCCTGGTGATATCATTCGTCCTGATGTTCCATGGTACCTTGAAAAATCTTCTTAGAGCCTGGCTTTGTGCAATTTCTTTGCATTGAGATTTTCATTTCTGAATAGCAGTTGGAGGTGATGAAGAATTTTGGCACACCTAATTCTTTTCAGTTGAACATGTTTAAGCCATGTGAATCGTTTGTCCAACGTGATGCCAAGATATTTAACGCTGTCTCAGTTTATTACCATATCACCAACTCTCACTCTCGAAGGATTCTGTCGCCACTTACGCGTTATAAACAGAGCCTTACTTTTTTCATTAATGTATTTTATTATCCACTTCTGGAAATACTCCAAAATGAGTTTTATATGCTCTTGAAGTCTATTGGTTATGTTGAGAGCACATTTATCTGAGTATAGCATACACGTATTGTCAGCATAAAACGTCAGAGTCGATGGACCTAACGTTGGAATACCAGATGTATAAATGTTGTAAAGAGTGGGGAGAAGTGACGATGCTTGAGGAAATGATCATTCCATCATTTAGCCAAAGCTAAAAAAGATTTAAATTAATACTACAATAGTTGAATTTAATAATGCTCTGTGTAATGTAAAAGCGAAAAACCCAGGCGAACAAATGTAGTATCACATGTTAATAAATTCTCCCCCCATCCTAAGAAAAATATTAAACGACTCATATAATAATATTTTTGAGAAAGGTAGCTATCCTCAAAATTGGGATAGTGTCAAAGTTTTTTGAATAGCCAAATCAAAATATGTCTAGTACTCAAATTAGCGGCTATTGTTCAATTTCTATAATTTTAGAAAAAATTTTTATTAAAAGAATTTTTTGGTACTTAACAAAAAATAACCTAATTAGTCCCAATGCAGTAGTCTTCAGAGAAAAGCAAACAAAACGGATGTCCTTCTTTCTCTTGAACACTATGTTATGCGTCTTTCGCTCTTTCTAATAAAAATCATGTAACTATCTTAACTACTAATACTAAGTTAATGATAATTAACTTCGTTATAGTTATTAAAGCTATTGGAGTATAAGTTGTCACATTGGAGTATAAGTTGTGTTTGAGCAACTTAGTTGCAACTTAAAAACTTCAAGTCTTTTGGAATAACTGGTATCTGTGGTAACATCGTCGTTTCTGTCTTTTGGAATAAGTGGTATCCGTGGTATTAACCACTTATCATGTAATTCTAAAAATTACACGATAATTGATCAATTTTATAGAGTTCAATAAATTGTGTAAAATTAAAATATAATTAAAAAATAATAACAAAAATTAAAAAGTAATAAATATGTATTATTAATAATTAATAAATAATTAATATTAATAATTATTAAGGCTTATAAAAATATATTTTTTTTGCTTAAAAAAAAATGTGTATGAAATGTTATTGTTTTTAAACTTTCTATGCAAAAATAGGAACAATAAAAAAATGAATTATAAAAAAATAATTGAGTATTTAACTGTTTATTGCAATTAAAACTGAATTTATTAAGATTTACATGCGTTACTATTACAAGCCCGTTTCATTTTCATATCATTCCATTGTTATTTTTTAATTGTTTTTGCTAACTGCATTAATTCTTTTATTGATCAGTTTCGCTTTGACTTAAATTGTGTGAGCATCGCAAAAGTTGGCGTGAGTAAAACGGTTAAGTGAATTTATTTTGAGTTAATTTTTTGTTGATAAAAGAATATTTTAAATTAATTTGATATAACGAAATTTGTTTTATAATGTTTTATAATTACTTTTATATTTAATACATAGTATTTATTTAAAATGTACAGAATAATAATAAGAAAATATAAAACGGTATGAACGGTATGCGAATGAAGTGGAAAAATGCAAATTAGAAAAAAGTTAACCAAATATATGTGTTTGGATATGTTAAGAAATAATTTTTATTAGTTATTTATTAAAATGATTAACAATGTAACATAAAAATTAATAAGTGAATATAAACAAAATATTTTTTAATATATGTGCTTAATATCTTTCATAATATCATTTAATATATCGTTAATAATAATATTATTTTGTGCTAAAAATGGTTGTGTTCCGGAATTTAATACAAAAAAACCATGATAACACTCAGTGGAGACAAGAACCAAGTATGTGGAAACAGGTAAGTGAATTTTTTTGACATTTATTTTTTTGAAATATATTTTTAAATAACCACAAAGCGGCAAATATTTTAAATTGTTTGTATACCTCAATAAGGTATTATATGCTTATATATCAATATTTATTTATATATTATACTAAATATATTTTGAAATGACTGGGATATTTTAATAATATACTATCATATTCTTATATATCAAAATTAATTTATATATTATATAAAATATATTTTCAAATAACTATAATGTGGCATATATTCTTATTTCTATAAATACCTAATAAAAATTTAGTATAATATTCTTATATATGAATATTTATTTAAATTTATATTATTAATCTTTTTATTGGTTGGGTAAAAAGTATTAGGCATTTTTCTTTTTGGTTGACCGTAAGAGTTGCCTATAATAAATAAGCTATTAAAGTTGGGGATTTCTTTTTTTTGTTTGTTAGAATAAAAAAAAGAAACGAAGTAAGCTGTCAATTATTTGGAAATATATATACGATTTACTAAAATTTATCCTGTATATATCCTGTTACATCTATTATAAAGAAAAAGAAATATAATATAATGTATATAAAAAAATAATATAAAAATTATAATAAATTAAAATGTATTACAGCTTACATTCATACAACTATCACACAAAGCAGAATGTGTTTTAAGTATGTAAATAGATTTATACAAGGAGTATTCACACGGAGTACGATTATTCGTTAATTGCGTATTCTGTAAAGTTGTAAAAATGTAACAACCACATTTTAAATTTTTCCTCGGAAAAGCCATACAATTAAAAACTCAAAAAAAATAAAATTGTAATTTAAGTTAAATCTGTTACTTATTTCTACTCTTTATACTCTTTATTTAAAAAACAAACAACAAAAAATATTTATACAATTGTATAATTTTTTTATGTTGAGAATTTACTAAGGATACTTCTACTAGTTATGGGAAAGATACAATCTGGTAGTGTCCTGTCGGGAAATCGTTCAACAGTTTTTATAATGAAAACTTCACCTACAATGATAATCATCTCTCTAATGGGATTGTTATCAGAAAATATCCTGATTATCTGAAATGGGGTTTAAGCAAATTAATTCTTGAGCATTCAGTATGTTGTCAAAGGACTAAAAATAATCGAATATAGTATTTTAAACTGATAGCACAAACTTATTAAAAAAAAGACATCAGTTCTTTAGATGCTTTTTAAACTGAGCCCAAAAATTTGAGAGGATCGAATTTATATTTTCAAATCGCTGTGGATATGTAATAAATTTAAAGCATATGACAGCTATGGATAATGAAAAGTAAATCACTTACTATATTATTATGAAAAAACGGTCTTGTAAGTTATAAGGTGAATAAAGTTGTGATTGACGAAAATAAAGACTATGGCATATGTTTAGTGAAATTGTAACAGTTTTATATATTATATATTCCTACTACTATGATTGAAGTAAGAGTTTTTTAGGTCGGAATTTATTAAGAGAAAATTTTTATTGTTACATTATAACTACGCTAGGTTTTATCCATCTTTGGTGGTTCAGTTAGAATTGATGGATCTAAATTGAGACTATCGATAATTTGTCACCACTAAGAATCAGCTGATTGCTTTAAATTTAAACAATTATTTACCAGAGTTCTAAGGATATCAGAAACATTATTATTGTTATTATTAATATAAGATGTGGCTTTGCGATTGTCGGGTCTCTTGTGCTTCTTTCTGGGCTTAGAGTAAGTCTCTAAACCCTGTTGCGTCGATAGAAAGTAGCGTAGAACCTATTTTACAGAGTTGTATTGCCTTATATATACATTCCCAGGAGTCTATTCCGTATGTTCATCAGCGCAAGGCATTGTAACAGCATGTGTATGGCTGATTCTTAAATCTCTTTGCCGAATATAAATTTGCATCCGTATATATACCTAACCTTGTGAGGTGGTATTTTAGTTTACAGTGTGCTGTTAAGAATCCTGTGATGATTTTTAGTTTTGCTTTTGATAAGTCCATAAAGTCATAAGAATCTATGACTATTCTTGATAAGTTTCGATCCAGCAATTATAGTTAATTGTTGTTCAACAGTATATTTAATTATACTACATGCTTTTTGTTTACTACAAATTAAGTTTGTTCGCAAAATTTATATATTAATGGAAATTTAATAATATTTGTAATGAGGCTTGACGATATTGGAATCATGGGAGCTTTTAAACTGAATTATTTTCATTTGTAATAATAAATGCGAGTTGTTATTTGTGAATTTTGGTAATGAGATTTTAATTTTATACACTTTTTATATTTGATTAAAAACTCAAACGCATATAAATATTAAGTCATCGTCATTAACATATTTAATTAAACGTCCATCAAATTTAAATGTTTGCTATTATTTTGAATCGAACAAAAATTGCTTTAGTGTAATCGATTTTTATTTTAGATTAATTTTTTTTTTGTAATTTTAAATGTATTCGAATTTGATTACAAAATTTCTTTTGCTGGAATAATTCATCAAAAAGTTATAAATAATTATTAACATTTGCAAATTTATTTAGAAATCTGGTATATGAGAATTCATTAAGAACGGAGTGAATATACCTATATTATAGTATATTATTATTACTATGATTATTATACCTATATTATTATTGTTTTATTAATATAATTTACAACCTTTCTTATGTATAAAAGCTTAGAGTTTTTTCCATGAAACCAGACTAATAGCTTGAAATCAACTGAAAGTATGTCGTTATTTGGTTAATTTATTTCTTTATATTTGGATTTCCTTAAGAAAGTGTGAACTTTAAGTATCTTCACCTTCATTTATTCTAATTCTATTTATGAAGTTCCAGTATATGTAAAGCAAATTTTTTTCATGGTTTCCATCAAATTTACTCAAGACACAATTTTCATGCTTTTCTGTTGCCAGATTTTAAAAATTAGATTATTAAACCCATTCTATCGTGGGCCAAGGAAGCGATAAAAGTGCTTAGCTATTCGCGGAGCTCTCTAAGCTGGCTGACCTCACTATTACTGGACATGGTAACTTCAAGTATCACCTCAAAAAGATAACTCTTGCTGAGGAAGACACTTGCAGACTATGTCTAGAAGAAAAAAAAACAGCGGTGCATATTTTGTGCCAATGTCCAGTACTGACAAGTAGGAGGAAGCAGCTTTCATTTCGAGAATCGAAGGACGAAGAAGGACACAAGTCGTTTCGTGGTTTACTTCGACTAATCCTTCACATCAGTGGGGCCACTTGTTGGACAGTGCACTGTCCCAACGTCTCATCATATATGTAATAAACCCATTCTATAAAGTTTAGACACAACCGTATCTATAAATATAAGTAGCAACAAATCCCAAAATTTAATTATTTGTTTATAAAAATACCAATTTTGCATAGAATACATTTATATATATATCTTAAATATAATATATTTAATTTAGATAATTTTTAAAAAAATTATTTTATTTGAATTTGATTTTAACTTCAGTTATGACGGCAGTAACTTTTTAACTTAATAGCAACTATTATATTTATTTATTATATAGAAAGGTTTTGAACAGTACTAAATTGCAACAACAAAATTTTTTATTTTTATTTTTTTAAACTGGTTTTTTCGAAAAGTAGTGAACTACAACAACAAAAATTTTAATTAATTTAAAAATAAATAAAAATTTTTGTTATTGCAGTTCACTACTGATCGAATCCTCTCTAAACAATTATTTTGTAATAGTATTCATTTAAATAAATAATTTCAGCAAAAATAAAAAAATAAATTATTATTTCAAAGAAATCTTGTATTAGTAACATAACATTTAAGAATAAAATAATAGAGACCAAAACATTTATAAATTTAATTAGCTGGAATGAAAAATAAATTATTTAATTTATTTAAATATTTTGTAGTAAACTTTAACATCTACACGAGGAATATTGAAAGCCATCCATGTTGAAAAGAAAGCATACTCTCCTGTTGGTAAAGTTATTGGTAGTGCCGATAGTTTACTATTCATAAAATTAGTATCAAGTTTTTCTATAATTACATCATGCTAAGAAAAATTTAATTCGTAATTATTATTAATGCCTAATAATCATAAAAAATAATATACATACATTATATGGACAAGTATGATTTAGATTTGAGTAATCTCTAAAAAAGCTATAGGTCAATCTTGATAACGAATCCTTGTGCGATTTAAAAAAATCACAAACATCAAATGTTAAGTCGATCAGAAACGGCTTATATCCATTAGTTTTTCTTAAAACGGTCCAACGTACCTATATTTTACAAAATAAAGTGAAATAAGTTTTAATATATATTAAAAAATAAATAAAATCAATATTGAATTACTGATGCATTTGTCACCGGTTTTTGAAAGAGTTTTGCCTTTATAGACAAATACTTGTAGGTACGATTTATCGATCTTAAATAGCAATAATCGAAATCGGTAAATTTCTTATCAAGAGACGTACATTTTATATTTGTAAATTCCACAGAACAAGATATCTGAAATATTTGTATTTTAATTTTATTATTTTATTTAAGATTAACGAGTTTATTTTACTTGAGTTGAAAAAAATAAAATAGTTATAGTAAATATCAATAAAATGTTTGCTAATAGCATTTTCACATCTGCACTACAAAAAGCAACTTTATAATCGAACACCTCAATTTTGACTAAAATTTTGTGTACAATAGTTACTAATTATAATATATTATTAATACCATTATTAAATTTGCGTTATAAAATGCATAACTTTCATTAGTTGATGTATAAATAATTCCTCAATTTAATTTAATTGGCTTCATTGAACAGATTAATTGTGCTATAATGGCAAACATATTATTTATTGCTTTAAATGTATATTGCAAAAATTTCTTGTTTACTTACCTAGATATTAATTATTAGTAAAATTTAGAATAAATTCTTAAATCAATTAAGGACGTATACAAAAACAATACTCTGGGGAGGATTTTTAAAAATTAATTTATAGTTCATA